GAAGCTATTACTCTGATGACACAGGAGCAAAGGGAGCCACAGAGAGCTTAAGTCGCTTACCCATGCATGGACGGGGACGGTCTAGTCCTGGTTGCTCCAGCCCCTGCTGCAGCCTGCCCAGCTGCACTGCTTTGACCACTAGATCCACCAAATGTGTGCACAGGCAAGGGACGTGCCGTATGTTCTCCCCAGGGCCCACACCTACCCTGCCTGGTGGGCAATAGTCCCCTTTTATGAATGGGGAACTGAGGCTCAGAGAGGACAGGTGTCTTGCCCAAGGTCACACAACCAGGGCTTGGGGTTCCAGGCTTTTAAAGGAGATCTGCCAGGCTCCAAAGCGCATATATCCTGGGCTATTGTGGGTGTGAGTGAGGCCCAAGGCGAAACGGACCCCAACATCTGGGGACGAAATGCGGAGGTCCTGTCCATCCCCTGAGAGATGGCTGTCCCTGCTCCATAGCTGGTGTCAGGAGATACAGGATAAACAATCCCCACAAGATGATGTCCACAAACAGGGCTGAGGGAGCCTCGGTAGCCCCCAGGCTAGATGGCAAGAGCCCGAGCCCAGGGAGGTTCTGAAGGAAGTAGTCCACCTACACTTCGGGGTCTAGGCCCGGAGGCGGGGGGCACCAGGAGTCTGTTGGGGGGAGTCCCAGACAGTCATGTTGCTCCCACTTCTCACTGCACTTTGTTTCACTGTGTGTTTTTTTTTTTTTTTTGCCTGAGAGTGTATAAAACATAAAAGTATGTTTTAATGAATATTAATAAATTGCACGTCCATGAACAATCACCCAGCTCGAGCAGTGGACCATTTTTGACATCCCAGAAGTCCCCTGGCCCCTTCCCAACCACACATCCCTCCCTCCCCCAGAGGCAAACACGATTCTGGCTCTGTGATACAATCAGCCCCTTGCTTTCCTGTACAATGTCCCCGCTCACGTGGCCATACGTTAGTTTTGCCCGCTTGTGAACGTTGTGTAAACAAGTCAGTGTGGAATCTTTTGCTCGGCTCTTTTCGCTCAGCATCATGTCTGTGTGATTCACTGTATCTATCGTTTCATGCAGCTGTTGAACTTTCATTCTCATTGTACAATATTCCATTCTGTGCATACACCACAATTTATTTATATGCTCCTTAACATGCTTAGTTTGTCTCTTTAATTGTGGCTTTTAATATATTCTAGGTTTGAGTCCTTCATCACTTATATGTGTTTCCGTTATCTTCTCCCAGTTTGTTACTGTTTTCTTTCACTCTCTTTACAGTATCTTTTGATCAATGGACATTCTTAATTTTAGTATTATTGAATGTTGTATAATTTTCATGTATGGTTGGTGTTTTTGTGTCTTGCTGAAGAAAAACTTTTCTACTGTGAGTACGCAAAGGTATTCTGCCATATTATATTCTTTAGGTGGGGAACCTGCAGCCTTGGGCCACATGTGGGCTTCTGGATCCTTGAGTGCGGCCTTTTGACTGAATCCAAATTTTACAGAACAAATCCTTTTAATAAAACTTGGTTTTGAATCCACCTAGAATTATTTTTGTGTTGTGAGGTACGGATCCAATATCATTTTTTCAGTATGGATAACCGATTGTTCTATGTATTGAAAGTCCAACCATTCCTGCGGTGGTCTACAATACCTCCTTGGTCACCTGTTCTCTGTCTACATATAAGTTGGGTCTGTTTCAGAGACCACTAGTCTTTTATTGGTCTATTCATCAACTCTTGCAACAATATCAACCATCTTAATTGCTATACCTTCATAATAAGTATAGGTGTCCTGGCTAGTCTTGGCACTTCCACATAAATTTAAGAATTAATTTGTCATGATCTACATACACTAAAAAAAAAAAATCTATTGAAATTGTGATTGGATTTGGGTGGAACCTACAAAACAGTTTCTAGAGAACTGACAGTTTTATGACCTTGACTCTTCCATTCAATGAACATGTGTATTATTTATTTAGTGTTTTAAAATGTCTTTCAGTCAGACTTAATATTTTTCTGGAAAAAGATCTTGCCCCCTTTTGTTAATGTCTTTTTTTTTTTTTTTTGGTTAATTTCTAAGTAGCTCATAAATACCTTAAAATTTTCGTTTGTTGTTGGCATATAAAAGCAATAGATTTTTAAATATGGATTTGGCATCCAGAAATCTTTCTAAATTCTTAATAATTCTAATAACTCACCCATAGATTATTTTGGATTTCCTATATACACAATAGTATCATCTACAAATAATGGCAACTCTATTCTTCATTTTCAGTCGTTAAATATTTTCTCTCTCTCCCTTGCCTTATTGCGCTCGCTAGGACCTCCAGTGCAGTGCTGCATAGAAATGATGACAGCAGGCATCCTTGCCCCCTTCCCAATGTCAAAGCTCTTAACATTGCACTTTTAAGTATGTAGTTCACTATAAATCTTTGTAGATACCATTTATGCTAAAAATAATTCATTTAAGTAATTTGCTAAGATTTTTTAAATCAGGAATAGATGTTGAATTTTAGCCCTTTCTCTGTATCTATTAAGATGATTGTAATTTTTCTCCTTTAATCTGCTAATGAGGCCAATTATGCTGAGTTCAAATAGTAAAACACATTGCATTTTTGAAATGCATCCAACTTGGTCATATTGTACTTTTTAAATATTTTGGACTTAGGCAGCTATCATTTGGTTTAGAATATTTACATCTATGTTCTTGAGATTGTTCTGTAATATCCTTTTCTATGTATCAGGTTTTAGTAGCAAGGTTGTATCAGCCCCATAAAATGAATTGGGCATGCGCCCTCTTTTTATACTCTGGAATTGCTTTTGCAAAATTGAAATGTTTCTTCCTTGAGTGTTTCACCAGCAAAGCCATCTGGGCCAAGCGTTTCTGTATGGGAAGACCTTTGGCTACAGGTTCTGTTACTTCAATGGTTATGCAACTACTCAAGTGTCCCACTCCTTTTTGAGACAGTTTTGGCGATTTATACGTGTGTAGTAATTTGTCCATTTTATCTAAGTTTTCAGCTCAGTTGGCATAAAGTTGCCTTTTTAGACAATGATCAAATTATCACATCAATGGAAGGCCATAGACACATATCTAGACATTGATACTTGGCAGTCTATAATATTCTCCTTGAAAGACCTGTGAGATATGGGTATGTTGAACTTGTTTTCACTAGCTGTTTTCCACTTGCAGACCTCTGCAGTGCTATTCCTTCTGCCTGTACTGCCCTCTCCTCCCCTTCATTACCTGGTAGATTCCTTCTTGTTTTTGAAAACTCAGTTCAAGTACCATGTCCTCCAAAAAGATTTCCAGAATCCCTGAAGTGGGACCTATCACTGTTAATGCGCTGACCGTGCTGCACTGAAATTTTCTCTGTGTCTGCCACCCTCACTAGACTGTGAGCTCCTCCTTCTGTGTTCTCAGAGCAGAGCAGAGGGGTTCAGTCAACACTTGTGGAGCTGAACTGAGTTTGTAACCACTGAATGACCAACTAAGCTCTCTGGCCGTGTCTCTCTAGATTTCCCCACTTCCATTTGTTTGTTCCTTCATTTATTTCATTTAATGCGTATTTACTGAGCATGTATTATGTGCCAGGCACTGTTCCAGAAGAGTGGCCAGTGAAGAAGGAGGAAAACTAGGAGAGTGTTGTATCTTGGAAACCAAGTGAAGAAAGGGTTTCAAGGTACAGGTGATCAACTGTGTTAAATGCTGCCAATAGGCCAAATAGGAAGAGGTCTGAGACTTAACCTTTGCTATAACAACGTGAATGCCTTCAGTGACTTCAGCAGTTTTGCTGAGGTGATTGGGCAAAAAAAAAAAAAAATCTGATTGGGGCTATTTCGGAAAGGCACTGGAGGAGGGAAGAACGGGAGAAAACTGGTATAAATATTTCTTTCAATAAGTTTTGCTGTAAAGGGAAGTAAATAAATGTATGGTATTTTATTTTACTATGCAAAGTTTTTTATTTGCATGCAGTAAATATATCTATCCTTTCCTTCAAAGCTTCTTGGTTTCCTGTTTTGAATAGAAATGAGATGTCTGGGGACAGCAACTCTGGTATGAATTTTCACAGTACACTAATGCCTCTGTCCTTTATGAGGCCTTCCCTATTTTGGGGGCTGAGGGATCTCCCGCTGGTAGTGTGAAAGGCTGGTTTTTTTTAGTAACCTGAAAACTTTGTGGCTGATTCCCAACTGATGTCCCCACATCCACAAGTGACCACAGCCACCACTGCAGCCATGTGACTGACACCAAACCCTCATGTGGCCACCACTCTTCCTCCCTGGCTCCCACCACCACCATCCATATATACCTCTGCAGGCTCCCACAGATAGAATGCAGAAAAGACTGAAGGACCACATGGATTGGGACCACGAGGTGAGGAGACACAGATCCTCAAGTACACACTGAAGCAGCACAGGCATGGCCACGTCCTAGCCCCCACTCCCCACCGTGGTCCTCCTACAGAATGTGACCACCCTGAACACTCACGCCCAAACAGGAGAACACTGCACGGCAAGACACATCATTTCTCATAGAGCTCTATTGTGGCATATAATAATAGGTACTCTATATAAATTAAATTAAAAATAAAGCTCCAGCAGGTTGCACAGGTTGGCTGTTAATAAATATATCTCTGGGTAATTGTGCCCCAAGACCAGCTCACGACCGCTCTCCCTCATCCAGAGAATTATACAAAAATAAATACAGGCTTGGGGGTAGGGGAGGGGGAGGACATGCCCAGTTCCATTGTAAAAGTTCTTCTCACTCATACCATCCACCCATCCCCATTCCTCTCCGTTGGTATCACCACAGGGAGCCCTGTGCTGACTGGAGAGCTCAGGGATGGAAAGGCCTCTCTCTAGTTGAGCATTCTCAGAAGCAAAGGACCAAAGTCCCCTCACTGCACAGGCCACATATCCCATCTCAACCCTCTGGGGTGGTGCAGGGGCTACCCCTCCCCAGACCCCAGAGAGGGGGAAGCCTGTCATTGCTGATCCCCCAAGCAGCCCCTACGAGAACCAGGCCAGAGAGAGGCACAGCGCAAGCACCAGGAGGGACACACCACTGTTCAGAGCCACAGGGACCACCACCAGCCCAGCCAGGACACCCAGAGTCTGGGTCAAGGGCCCCCGGAGCTGGGGAGGCAATACACACACACATTCTGCAGGGGCTGCTAGGGTGGGAGACCTTTTTGGGGGTTCAAGACTTGGGCCTGCACCCTCTTCATCCTGGGAGCTCACATGAGGCCTAGCCATGCTAGACAGACAGACTTCGGCCCCTAAGGGACCAACGAGGGTGGGATTTTGTCCCAGCAGAAGGACTGGAGCAGCTGGCTCCTTGCCAGATATAGGATCCAAGCTGCCTGCCTGCTCAGTGGTGACCTCCACCTGAGCATCTGTCCCAGCCTCCCCCAGAGACCCAGTCACCCCAGCTATCACCCTGTTCATGTGCAAAGAGTCAGCATCCTTGCCCATCCCTTTCTCTGGATCCCCAGTGAACTGACCCTCTCTGCTCAGAACCACAGGGCTGTCACATCCTGAGCCCTCTGCCCATGGGAGCCACACATCTCCCATAGTGGCTACCACACAACGGGCCCCAGAGAGGATTTCCGGAGGTGATTCCTTGGGGCTGTCCCCTTCTGGGCTGGAGGGTGTGATGGAGAGCCCCTCTTCGCCCTCCCCCTCCTCATCAGGGTCCTCGGTGTCCTTGATGAGCTCCACCCCGCGCCCGAGTCGGGCGTAGTGCAGCGTGATCTCCTCAGCCAGGGCACTGTTCAGGGCCCGCTCAGGGCCAGACCACTTCAAGATCAGGTCACGGTCCGTGAGTACGCCCAAGGGATGGCTGGGGGACATCCCGCCATCTGTGGGGCCCTCCCCACCACCCCCTCCCCCACCTGAAGCCACAGCAGCCCGCAGGCGGCTCAGGTGGGACAGGTAGAGCTGCTCCAGCTCCTGGTCAATGGTGTCTTCGCCAAGCAGCTCCTCCAACCCGCTCATGACCTCCAGACCCCCGGGGGGTTCATCCATAATAGCCCCCACCATGGGGTCCTTTCGACCCCCTCCATTCTCACTCGATACTTCCCATGTGGCCTCCACCTGCTGCTGGCTGGGTTCCAGGAAAGGCCCAGTGGCCCCCTCACTTGCATCAGGCCCTGAGGCCTGGTCTCTGGGGGAGCCACCCAGGCCACAGAGAGGGGAGGAGTGGGGGATCCTGATGGCCGGTGCCTGGAGGACCTCTGTAAAAGCCACAGGTGGTTTGCTTCTGGGGATGTCACCTTCTTCTGGGGGGTTGCCAGTCATTGTAACTTCAGAAACCTGGAGCCGTGGGGGAGGGGAGGAGAAAGGGCAGGGAATGAAGTAGAGGAGGGGACAGGACAAGCAGAGACAGTAAGAACTGGTGACAGCCCACACCCAGCCCCACAGGTGTTTCCACATAAAAATGCCTTCAAGAGCCCTCTGCAATTCTCTAAACTCCAAAGACTCTGACATCTCTAGGAAAATAATACCCTTTGATGGCATAAAAGGGGCTGATGACAAAGCTGAGGAATTCAGCGGGCATCAATATTTGGTGAATGACTGTCAGTAAACACTGTTGGTTTACCTTCAAAACATAGCCAGAATATTCATGTGAATCCATCATGTATCTTGTCTTTTTAAAAAATTTATTTCCTAGCTCCGTCTTTTGAAAAGGCCTAGAAACAACGAGCAATCTAGTAGCAACAAGCATGCCGAGCCCCCAGATCTTGGTCTCTCAGTACCAGTCATTCTCCACTAAAGGAAACCAGGGCTCCTTAAAGAAATGGCTGTTTTCAGGCTTGGGGCTGGGAAAGTCCAGAATGCGCCTAGAACATACTGTCCTCACAGGATGTGAGGAGGGGCTCACAGAATGATGGGGGCCTGGCAAAAGGACAGGAGAGCCAATCTAAATAAGCTCCTACTGGCCAGGGAGAATTCAATTTAAGCATGAAAAAAATAAATAAATAAGTGCAATGGATTAAAATTCATCAAATATGTTTAGAATCCGTGAGTTCATAATGACACATCAAGATTGAAAACCCTTGAGTTTTTTTTCTGAAAACTGGTAAATAAAAGGGGCAAAATTAAGTATTTACACTGCTTTTCCTGGACAAACTATACCTCAAGGTAGCCAAACAGTTGGTGTGGGACATTTTTTCTTTAGAGAAGAATCCCAGTGAGTAAAGGAAGTGGGAACAATAGAATTAAGTAGAGTTCATTCTATTTAAATTAATTTAATAATAAAAGATTAAATGTAATGATTTAATAGAATTAATGGTTTAATACATAAATTAAATTTAACTATAAAAGACTAAATTAATTAATAGAATTAACAAATGAGTAAAAATAGAGTAAGAAACATGTTTCCACCTCGATGCAATCATCCAGACTGTGGAAAACTCTACAGGACAAACAAGGTTTCTTCAAGCAAAAAATTGCAAGGAAAGAAAGTGGGAGAGATAAAAAAAAAACTAAACAGACGCATCAATCAAATGCAATGTGTCAACCTTGTGTAGATCCTAAAACCCTTATGGGAGAAGGAAATTTGAACACTGACCAAATACTTGATGATACTAAGGAATTATTGTTACTTTTCTGTGGTGTGATGATGGCACTGTGGTTTTTTTTTTAAGAGTTCTTAATTTTCTGAGACGCAAACTGAAGTATTTATGGATGGGATGATGATATCTGGATTTTTTGCAAAATAACCCCATAGGGAATGGGAGGGGAGGAGGCGGCGTTCCAGATGAAGTAGGGTTGGACATGTGTTGTCACTTGTTGAAGCTGGGTGATGGTGTATGAGGGTTCGTTATACTAGTCTCTTCTATATAAGTTTGAAAATTTTTGTAATAAAAAGTCAAAATACACACACACACACACACACACACACCCCTCCAGAATGTCTCTACGTCCCCTGCCCCCACAGTCACAGCACCCCTGGACCACTGCAGTAGCCTCCTCACAGGTCGCCTGCTTCCGCCAGAGGGAGCCTGTTAAATCCTGAGTCAGATCACGTCCCTCTGCTCACACCCTCCTGTGGCTCCCCCTCTTCTGCTCCTTGCTGTCCCTCACACGCATTAGTCACAGCCCCATCTCAGGAACCTCACACTCGCCTGGGATGTTCCTCCCCTAGTTATCCACATGGCTCACTCTCTCATCTTCTTCTTATCTTTGCTCAAATCTCACTAATCGCCACTAAGGCCTGCCCGTGCCAGTCGATCTAAAGTTGCCAACGCCCCCCCACAACACACACACATGCGTACACAACACCCTCTCACCCATTCCCTACCCTTTATATTTTTCCTTAGCACTCATCATCATCCCCAGGGTGGCCTGGGGATGGCACTCCAGGCTCCTGGCTCTGTTGATCTCCCAACTTTTAAAAAAATAAAATAAAATAAAATACCACATATTTAACTATTATTTTATTTGATCACATATCACTCTACTAACATGTAAGCCCCACAAAGAGCATTTTTGTTCACTACTGTATTTCTGCATCTATAACAGTGCTTGGCACAGAACAAGCACTCCATAAATATTTGCTAAATTAACAAATGAAATTTCTATAAGCCCAGATGAATAACTGCATTCTCCACCCCCCATCGGGTTCTGAGTTCTACTTTTGTGACTTCTCTTCGATCTAGGGTGGACCCAGAGCCAGTGGGCCCCACCACCCAGCACAGCTGTGATCCTACTGTGAGCCTCTCAGTGGGCTGTCCGCCCTGAGGCTGCAAGGGCCAGCTTACCTGAAGCGTCATCTGGGGCCATGGACGGAGAGGGGTGGGGGCCACCAGGGGACCCACTGACTCCTGGACATCAGGACGCCCTGCTGGAGAGAAGAGAAGGGCAGCGTTGGGGCAAAACAGGTGTACAAGCTGAAAATTTGCTATTCTAGCTAATTGGCAGTTTTGCCTCTGAAGCTTTCTGCGACAGTCTAAAGCAGAAGGTACCTCTTTGTTTTTATAGAAAGAAAAACGGAGGAAGACAGACATGGTAAATACAAGCTAAAACTCCCCAAGTTGCCCAACTGCTTACCCACAGCAGGGGTGTTATCATCCGTGTTCTTCATCCTCAGCTCCTCCTCAGCAGGCCTATGGGGCAGAGGAGAGAGTACATAGATCTGACACCCTAAGAGGTCACTTCTGCCACCCACTGGCACCTTCTGAGCCTCCATGGTGGCTTGTCTTCACCTGACAGCTGCTGCTTTCTCTTCTGCTGCCTCTTTTTAATCCCTTGATCATAAAAGTCCTACACCCTCATTGTAGAAAATTTACAGAATACAGGAAAGTATAAAGAAGCCAGAGGAAAAAAAAAAATCACACACCAGCCAGAGGCAACCACTGCTAACATTTTGGAAAATTTCATTCCTGATAGTCTATGAAATCATTTACATTCTGCAGACATAATTTCACAGCTGGCTTTGTCCACTTACCAGTAAGAAACATCATTATATACTTTGCAAACATTTCAAACGGCTGCTTAATGCTCATATCGTGTGGGCTTTGTCATAATTTACATAGCCATTCCCTTCCCACCACGCAGCTAGGTTGTTTTCTTCATTTTGCTGTCACAAAGCAAACTTCAACAAACAGCACTGGGTGTAGTTTTATGGACACCTTGGGTCATTTCTTTAGGGCATGTCCCTGGCTGTGGAGGAACCCATATTTTCCCAGAAAGAGCAGGCACAGAAGACTGTGGGACGCAGGAAACGGCAGAAGGGAGGAAGGAAAGCAAATGGAGAATGGGAAGGGGGTCAGGGAGGCCTGGGCCTCTACGCCAGCCCTCCTGTATCCCCATAGCAGCCTGGCAGGTCCCTTCACCTCCTCACTTAGAAAGCGGAGCCCAGGGGAGCCAGGATATGCACATCAAGCAAGACGTGCAAGAGGAATGAGGGTGGAGAGGCAGACGTCGGGGCCTGGCACGTGGCAGGGGCCAAAGCAATGGTATATATTCATTGGTCTTGTTCCTCCTTCACCAGGCCGGTCAGATCCCTGAGGGGCATAAGCCAAGTGTATTTCAGCCAGATACTGCCAGGGTGGGGTCTCATCTTGGAGAAATCACTGTTCTTACTCTCACCGATGAGTGAGAGATCCCTCCCTCCTCCTTCATGCAGGCTTTTCTTTGGACCTGCCTTTTGCCCACATATTCATTCCCAGTTTCCCTGCCTCCACGGGACATGTGGCTAGGAGACCACCAGACACGGAGTAAGAACTGCTTATTTTCACCCTCAGTGAGGAAGCTTGAACCATGTAATAATATATGGATCTAGAGTCTGGAAGCTCTGAAATGGACGGTCTTTCTCCACAGTCTAGGGCTCATGCATCCCACCAGAGGTACTCGAATCTGAATACCACAGGGCCTAGGGTAGGTGACTCTAGGAGCCCAGCCATCAACTCCCACTCATCACAGATGAGAAAGGGGAATTCAGAGCAAACTGGCTTGGTCCTGCACCAGTCCCCTCAGTGGGTCTAAAATCTAGTCTTCGGACTTGTGGCTCAACACAGATTCTGCCGGGCTTCACTGACTGATTTCTTCTGCTGGCATAGGCCTTCATTACAGAAAACATCATCTCCCTAGGATCTTCTAAACCATGCGTCTTCAAGAAGGCACACAAAAAGACAGAAAGCCAGTCCTCCCCACCATGGGCAGGAGCAGGTAAGCTTTCCCCTGCCATCTGGCCAAGTCCTGACATGCATGGCAACCAGGCTTCTAAAAAGCCACTACAGAATCACAGATGTGAGAGGGAAAAGGGGAACAGCCAACAGCAGGAAAAGGACTCTGCAATTCAGGTGGAGGAAGGAGAGAAGAAAAACAAACACGAAATCAATCCTTCAGCCCCCAGATCATCCCTTCCATGCCAACGAGGGTGAGAGGAAGGGAAACATCCAAAAACCGGGAAGCAGTTGAGCCAATCCTAAGATCTACGAAGTCAGCAGAAGCAAACGCAGAAGCAAACAGGTCGTTCTCCCTACCTCCAAAGTCAGAGAAACGACAGCAGGAGGCACAAGCACTTATTGTCACCTCTTTCACAATGGGGGCCCTTTCATTGATACAGCAAGGCATTTGAAAACCTTCACATCTACCCTTCAAAACAACGCCCTTCCCTTTTTACAAGTGCAGAAAGTAAGGCCCAAGGACTACACCCACTGACTACACACCACGCTGATAACATCCAGAAAGAGGGCTCCACTTTGAAGATAGTTTGAAATTATGGGCTGAAAGAAAAAACACAAATATCCTTGAACTGCCTTTCACAGTAAAAATTCAGAGGCAGCTATGACTTTAATCAAAATGAAGATAGTAAGAGAAATCGAGCACAAATGTATACTGACTCAATGATCAATTAACAGAGAAGAAGAGTTCTTAGAAAAATGGAGAGGGAAGTTAAGAACAAAACTGTACCTACAGTATGCCTGCTAATTTTCAAGACGGAAACCTGCTCTTTTGGCACCATCCCCTCAAATACCACATGGCATCCCCTCAAGAGCAGTGAGCAGTAGTGGGCCAGGGCACACAGACCTGGGGACATCTTGGGCACACATCATTTGGGTGTTTGTGAGCAACGGTCAAGCCATTGTCACCTAGAAGGGGCCATCTCAGGGCTGCCCACCAGTCTCCTGAGTGTGAAAATTCCTCCTGCCATCAGGAAACTCAATAGCTGCTGACCTCAGATAGTATCCAAGGAGACCAGGGGGTGAGAATTTGGAAGGAGGTGGCACTGGCCCCAGCCTAGGCCAGCTGAGACAACAGAAAGGTGAATCGCCAGAGTCGCAGAGAGAGCGAGCAAGCTAAGGCTGACAAGCCCCGTGGAGAACAGCAGACTTTCAGAGCAGTCACATCACTGCCATCACCACCGGCACCAGAGTCCTCTGTGAGCACCTCCAGCACTCATGGTTTCAAAGAACTTTGCCAGCCCAAAGTGGGTCAGGCACTGAAACCCAAAGGGAAACTCAGCGGACCCCAGCTCCCATGTACTCAACCTGAAGATAACGCTGACTCTCCGGAGGGAGACACGTGGCTTCAGAAACCTGCCCTGCGATACTTGGAATCCCAGTTACCCTGAGCCATCTGCTTTCTGAAAAGAACAGGGTTTGACGGCGGCTGTGAAAGCCACCAAGCTATGTGGGGCACTGTTTTGCCTTCCCCAACAAGTGTGTCAGCCTCAGCTCTGGGACTTGTGGGCAATCCAGCAGAGTGGCAGGAGGAGAGCACTCTGTCATGCCATGAACTTCTACAGCAGTTCTTTGGCCATGACCCACAATAAGAAATCCATTCTACGTCATAACGCGGCACACCCATACATGTGTAAATATATATACATATATATAACTGAAAAATAGTTGTTCCTGGCATGAAACAATACTTACCTTTACTGCGTGTTGTGATGCACTCTGGCATTCCTTATGCTATTTTCTTAATGTTTGTTAGAACCCAGTAAATTGATTTCACATCTTAATAAAGAGTCAGGACATGCAATCCTGAGTAATCCCAGCTCTGCCACTTAACAGCTGTGTGACCTGGAGCAAGTTACTTAACCTCTCTGTGCCTCAGTTTCCTCATCTGTAAAGAGGGGATAATGGTAATACCTACTTCCATGAGTTGTTGAGCAGATTGAGGAAATGCTTGAAAAGCACCTGTAAAGTGCTTAATAGTAATTTCCCTCAAATTCCCACTGAGGGAAACTGAGGCTCTGAAAAGGAAAGCAACTTGCCCAGCATTTCCCTGCACGTAAAATGCATCACCCAGCCTGGCACAGCAGCTAAGAGCTGGGGCACTGCAGCAGGACCATACAGGGTCGGATCCCACTTTCTCAGCGTGTAGCCTCAGGCCCACGTCCTTAACCATGATGACCCCACCTGTTTTCTGTGGAATGAAAGGGGATTACTTTCACATTAAATCCGCACTTGCCAGACAACTAAGATGACCCTTGACCCGTCCTGTTTCAACTCCAGTGGTTCTGGTTTCCCCTAAGGCTGCCAACTCAGATGTCAAGTTGGATCCCCATCCATTTAATTATAGGTGTACCTAAATACATAGAGGCCTTACTATGCATCAGCCCCGGTGACAGGCCCTGGAGACACAATGATGAGCAAACGCGACTAGGAAGCTTACAGTTCAGTGTGGAGGAAGACATTAAAAAATACTCAAACTCATTCTTTCAACAAACATTTATTGAGCACCTGCTAAGTGCCAGGCACTGTGGCAGGCCTGCGGGAATACAGTGGTGAACAAAAGCAGACCATGTCCCTACCCCTCACGGAGCTTACAGTCTAGCAGGACGGAGTCATCCAATAATCCCCTAATGAAGGTCTAACTACAAACTGTCAGTGCCTTTAGAGAAGGAAAGAATGCCCTAGGACAAGGGGTCCTGGCCCAACCGCAGAGTCAGGGAGGTCTTATAAGGATACTTAGAAGCAAAACGAGCAAGGGAGGAGGTAGAAGAGTGAGAGGCTGCTCAGGAACTCTGGGGGGGAGGTGATGAATGCGGTCCCCAACAAGATGAGTTTGAGGAATCTTTGGGACATCCATCAAATGGAGACACCAAGTTAGGATACATGAGGCTGAAGAAAAGAGCAAGGAGAAAGAGAAGGGCCAGAGAGTTAAGAGGAAAAGCAGCAGAGTATGGTCCCAAGGCAAGGGAAGACAAAGTGTCTTAAGTAGGAGTGGTGAACAACTTCAAGAAAAAAAACGAAAAACCACCTGTGGAATCTGGCAGGTGCAGGGGGCTAAAGCACACACAGGAGTGAGCACGTGGAGAAAGCAAGTGCAGGCAACTCTCGAGAGAGGGGTCGGCAGTGAAGGGGAGGAGGGTGATTAGGTGCTGGCCAGGAGCAGCAGGGGGAGAAGGTGGGGTCAGCAGAGACAGCAGGGACGCTGAAGCGGGCAAAAGTCAATAGGGAAGACTGGGTGAGGAGGGCAGCGGAAAGCCTGCCAGGAGAGAAAGGGTGTGATCGGTGATGTCAGGTTCTGGAGCAAGTGGCAGAAAATGGGACCCAGAGCACAGGAGAGAGAACTGGCCTGAGGGAGGAGGGGACTCCTCCTCTCCTGTAACACAGGGGAGGGAAATCAGTCTGCAAGCCCGGGGGCTGCCAGCTGTAGGGAGTTTCATTCTTATGGCTTCTACTTTGTTTTTTTGAAGCAGGAGGCAAAGTCTGAAGGTAAAGAGCATGTGAAAGAGTCACACCAGAGAGGAGACAAGAGTGGATCAGAAAAATATAGTAGGACTGGTAGGCAGGACGGAAGATGACCCTGAATTTGCTACGTGACGGGGCTTGCCTGCTGGGCTGATCAGCGCTATGGAAAAGCTGGGGGCCTGACGAGGACGTGGACAGGCCCCCTGGGGAAATCCTCTTAGAACTGAAGGATCAACACAAGGAGACTGCAAGGGGTGCGGGACAAACATTCCTGGTGAAGGACAGTGTGGGCAAAGGCCCTGAGGCAGAAAGGAGCAAGGCCCTTTGGAGTAACAGAAAGACCACGGTGACAGGAGCTCAGAAAGAGACACTGGTGTGAGGTAAGACCAGAAGCTGGCGGGGACCAGACTGGGGAACAGGGTGGGGATGCTTAAAGGCCATGGTGAGGCTTTCTTAGTCTTTATTTTTAAGAGGAATGGGATACTTCCTACGGGTGTTAAGCCAAGGTAGAGCAGGAGGGCTCCTCCCCACACCACTGGGACTTTGGACTCTGGGAGCCTCGGATTGGCTCATCCAGGAAAGAGAGATTTAAAATATCCAAGAAGGTCATGAGGCTGCTAAATAAATAAATAAACAAAAATAAAACAGTCTATGTCACAGGGAATGTTATCAGGATTAAATGAGACTTTGCATGAAAATACAGTACTCAGCAAAGTGCCCAGCAAAGAGCAGGGGCTCAGCCAGGTCTCACACAACAAGCCTTCTATACCTGCCCTTCCCACGACATTCCGCCACAAGCCCTGTGACATCTTTGGACCAGTCTACATCTTTTTCCCTGCGTGAACCGAGCACTGTGCCCAGCACATAGTAGGCCCTCAATAAATGCTTGTTGATGGATTATCTCTATGCCTGAGTTATCAAAAGCCTAGTCGAGCAACCCAGGGAAAGCAGCCATTTGGGTTTCTGAACCAAATCTTGATGGCTACCAGACTTCTCCCATGCCCTCACCTGACATGGCTATGCCCGGTGCACAGTGGGCCTGCAGCCAACATTTCTAAACAGGAAATCCTCTACGATGGGACTCCCACAGGTAAAGGATATCCCCTAAGATCCTCCACTGTTTCCCAAGAAGGCTGGGTCACAGTGGGGTGGATGTTCTTCAACAGCGCTGCAAGTCACTGGCAGCACACAGGTTTTAAAACAATAAGTTGAAATGTACTCGCCAAGAAAGCCACCGACCTACAAAGAAAACCTTATCGCTGATCTTGCAATGAGCACCAACCTCCCCTTTGCAAGAGCTGAGATCAAAAGATAAAGAAGCTATCAAAAAGCCATCTGCCCACTTAAAATAATATCACAAGTCATGTTAGGAACCACAGACCTGGGGCCAGATACCAAAACAATTGTCTAAACGGGCTGCTTCAATTTCTCCTTAAAACCACTCATGTATTTTAAAAGAAAAACACCCTCTCCACCCACCTTGGCCCCGCAAGGTTTTGATTTCTGTTCCCTTCCTTTCACATTCTTTAAATGACCAAACTGTGTTACCCAAACTGTCGCATCTTACAGACAGGGCTCCCACGACAGCCGGCGGGGATGACAACTTGGGAAAAGTGATAGAAATGAAGGCAGTTCTGGGGCACAGGAACTGCTCAATATCTTGATCTGGGTGGTGGTTACACAAGTGTATACGTATGTACAAATCTATTGGGCCATACACTTAATATCAGTACACTTTATGTAGGTATATCTCAATAAAGCAAAAAAGTACAACCAAAAAAAAAAAAGTAAAAGGAAAGCATGACATGCTGGGAACACCAAGAATGAAATCCAGAATTTGCCCTGAATCCTGCCAGGCCTTCAAGAGGATCAGTAGTAAGAAAGAAAAAAAATATCCCTAGCATTTCTTCCCTGGTCCTGTTACTCACTGGCTGAGAGACTTTGAGCAAGCTGGCTCACCTCTCTGAGCTCCCCATTTCCCCCTATATTAAATGGGGATAAGAGCACCTACACCACACACGACACACCACAGGCCTCCAGGAGAGAATGGACCTGACGCTTATAGCACAAAGATCAGTAAATGCTGGCCACCGTTATCTTTCACGGCTACCACCGTGTTTGCTGCATCCAATCCAACCATGCAAAGTGATTGTCATTCCCCTTTAGCAGACAAGGAAACTAAGGCAAGGACACACAGCTGGTGATGGGCAGAGCTTAGTTTAGGAAGGAAATCCAGGGAACTATACATGTAACTGCCTAAATACTAACACTAGTTAACACCTGTATGGTACTACTTTGCACCAGGCTCAGTTCAGAGCACTTTTACTGCTATCATGTGAAGTAGGTGCTATAATTCTCTCTGAGGCACAGTGTGATTAAATGAGTTGGCCAAAGTCACAAGGCCAGTGAGTGGCAGGTCTGGGATTTGAACCCAGGCGATCTGATGCCAGAATCCAAGCTCTCACTGCTGTAAGGAAAGCCATGCTGCCTGCCCCCTTTAGACTGAGTCTCGGGTCATAGTGGGGCTTACTGGTAAGTGGGTGCCTGCCTGCTTGCTCACTTACCCAGGCACATCTGCCCACCAGACCAGACCTAGACCTTTCTGAATTACTCACAGCCTTACCAGGACCAGCAGATCTCACAAACATCTTGCTGCAGCCAGCAGCTTCTGACCAAGCATATACGAAGTCCAAAAAGCATTTTCCCATTCCCATTTCCAGTCCTCCCAGGAGCAGGGAAGTGTACATATTTTAGGGAAAATCTACTGATTCCAAGCTAGATTTAGGTGACCACAGAAAGAATTAGGCCTAGCTGCTGCCCTTGAAGAACTCATAGCTTAATAGAGGAAACCTAGGAAAATCATCTATCAGAGCCTCCTGGGAACCTGAAAACTGGTTCTTTCTCCTAGCCCCTGAATAGTCACAGGAGGTGGTGTGCCAAAAAGCAAAGGACATGAGCTTCCAGTCCACTCTCCATCTGGTTCTGCCTCTGCCAAAGCCACTGCTTCCCTGTGAGAGCCTGGGCTCAGCCCTTCGCCTACGCAGGAGGCCTCAAACTAGATCAAAGCATAACAGCAAAGAGAGTGCACAGGCTTCAAAGGTCAGGCATGGTTGAACTGGAAAAGTCAGGCGTCATCACTTCCTCAACCCATTTCTCCACCTCTGGAACCCTAGTTTTCTGCTCTGTCAAATGGGGATCAAATTCCCTACCACCCACTGGCAAGGCTCTTGGTCCACACTACCATGACACTGCAGTTCTCTCCACTCCAGCACACCGCCCATCATTCACACCAAGTTCATTCCCACCCCAGGACCTTTGCACTTGCTGCTCCCTCTACCTAAAACACCTTTGTTCCATATATGCACATAACTGTTCTTTATCATTCAGGACTCAGCTTAAATGGCATTTCCTCAGAAAAGTCCTCCCTGTTACCTTTTCTACAAACTACCCCCCCATATCTGTGCATAACTTTTCCTCAGCATCATCCAGGACTCACCTCAAAGGCTCTCCCTGAACATCAAGTCTAAAGCAGCCATTCCCTCCCAATTTATCCCCTTACTCCTCTCAGCAGCTAACTTTATCCCTATTTATCTTATCTGTTTGCTTGCTCATTTTTTTCAAACTATCTTTCACAGGAGCCTGTGTGATCCTTGAGGGCAGGGAAGATGTCTTGTTCAGGGCTTTACAGTGGAACTCAATAAATGAATGAATGAAACCCCAGTTAAACAGTGCCTAGCACACGTTTGGCCTCCATCACTCTTTGACTGACTGAATGCACCCTCCTCCCTGTCCTGGAGAGCAGGCCTGAGGGGTTCCTGGGCTGGAATGCTTGTCCTCCATCCTAGACACAGCCCTGGGTTGGCGGAGGTGGCGCTGGCAGACATTACCTGCGCCTCACCGGCTTCATGCAGCTCTTCAGCTGCCTGGCCTCAGCCTCCACGGGACCCTGGCACTCAGGCTGTGGCTCCAGCTGCTGCTGCTGGGGCAGCCCTTCAGCATCAGTGGGTGTGGGAGCGGGTGCGATCCGGAGCAGGACTGTGTAGTTGCGGCCGTGGTTGTTGGCCCAGAAAGTGCCCTCGGGGGTCTCATAGCGCACCACGAAGTCGAGGCGCGCCCCATCGCCCGCGCCCTCAGCAAAGGGCAGCTGGAAGGCAAAGCGGTCGGTGCGGCCGCCGTCGTCGGGCGAGGAGGCGGCCGCCTGGCCGGGGCCCAGGCCGAGACCCAGATCCAGGATGGGATCTCCTGCTCCTGTTCCTCCCGCTCCTGCCCCCGGTGGGCTGCGCGGGACGTAGCGCGCTGGGTGGTCGCAGAAGGAAGCCCAGCCGTCGTGTGAGGCCCGCACGTGCACCGCCTTCTCGAAGGAGCGGTTCAGCACGCGTACCAACCCGCGCAGCACCGGCGGGCGTCCCCCAGGCACCCACAACCCGGCACCCCCGGGGACCGCTCCGGGAGGTGGCAGCAGCGCCTCCAGCTCCACCATGACGCGCCCCAAGCGCTCCAGACGGCCCGGCGCGGGCGGCAGCGAAAATGTGGGCACCAGGTAAAAACCCCCGCCAGCGGGGACGGGGCACAGCGGCGAGGGCTCGGGGCAGACCTCCTCTTCCTCCTCCCCTTCATCCCCATCCTCGCCATCGTCGTCCTCGTCAGCCCCGCCGCCGCCGCCATCTTGCCCGGCCGCTGCCGCCATCTTGCCCGCCCCGGGCCCGCCCCACGGCCGGTAGCGACGCAGCTGCGCCAGCGGCAGCCCCAGGGCCTCGTCGGCGAACAGCACCCTCCGCGGGGCCACCGCCGCCTCGACCGAGGTGCGGGGCTCACCCGCGGCCGGCGAGGGGGGCGCGGGATGCCGTAGCGGGGGCTCCACAGGGGCTGTGCGCGCCATATCGGCGGCGGCGGCGGCACCGACGGCACCGGCGGCAGGACCGGCGGGGGCAGGGCCTGAAGGGGTGGACAGCCAATGGGAAGGCCAGCGCGGGGGTGGGGTACGGCTCAAGGGGGCGTAGGCGGCGAGATGAAGACAGGTACAGCAGAGAGCCAATGGGCAGCTGCGTGTGGGTGACGTAGGCAGTGAATTGAGAGCAGGAGAAACACGCAGCCAATGGGGATGCCCGAGAGTGGGCGGTGTAGGAGGCGGGATGATCGGGGAATCAATGGAGAGGCTGGAATGGGGGTGGTGCGGGATCCCGGATGAAGAGAGCAGAAGTAGGACGGCTAAAGGGGAAATGTGAGCGGGAGCGACATAGAAAGTGGAATGGCTACAGGAGTTGGGGGCAGCAGGGAACGAACCGAGAGGCCCGAAAAGTGGGAGATCCCGCGGGTTGCGTAGGCGGTGAAATGGACGCTAGAGACAGAACAGCCAATGGGGAGCCACTCGCGGGATGACGATAATGGCTGCAGCGAGCAAATGGGGAGTCTCTTGAGTATGTGCGACGGCTCTGAGGGGCGGTGCCAGAGCAGAACTAGCCAATACAGAAGCTAAAAACAGACCAAGAGTGAGCGGCCACGGAGGTGGGACCTTAGGGAGCAGAGCCAATGGAGGTTGGTGATGAAGGCGGGAGCGAGGAAGACAGATGGTGGACAGCCAATGGGGGAGCCAGAGTGAAGGCGGTGAGCCCTCAAAGGGCAGTGCTAGTATGGGATGAACCAATGCCAAAGCTAGAGAGCGTAGCGGAACGGAGGAAGGACTTGGAGGCAAAATGAGAAAGAGCAGGGCCAACGCGGGCGGTGTAGGTGGTGTGAAGGAAGGCATTAGTAGCCAATAAGGAGGCCAGAGGGAAAGGCTGTGCGTAGGCAGAGTCTGAGCTATTGGGCGGTCAAGCCGCAGACCTGTAGAATGCAGGCAGCCCATAAGAACAGTATGCCTCTCAGGGATGGACTTACCCTCACCCTAACCCTCCGTGACTCCCCATTGTCCCAGGAAAGCCCAGACTCCCTGAAGGGGGCTAGACTGCACCCTAGTGCGTGATATAAGAAAGCAAAAAGGACTGTACTGCTGTAGTTATTGAGTGCCCCCTGCCCACCTCCCAGCCTTGGCTTGAGCAGTGCCACTAGCCAAGAATTCCCGACTGTCAACCCCAGCGCTGGCCAGGACGTGGCACCATTGTTGAATGAATGGCCAAATGGGAAATTGAACTTTTTGAAGGATTAGTTTTGTTTGTTTGTTTTTTTAACTTCAGCTCACAAACCCGCAGCCTGTGTGCCACCAGAAGTTGATTAGGCATGTTGGTAGACACTAAAGGAATCACAAATCAAAGTCCTGCCCTTGCCCATCCTGACAATCCACACCACACAATGGCCTTACCTCCTTCTTTCTGTCCTCCATCTCTGCACCTACTGTTCCCTCTCCCAAGAGTGCTGTCCCCTCTGCTTTCTCCATTTAGTAAACTCCTTTCACACTCCCTTGGAGGTCTCACTTTCTGTGGAAACTGAACTGTAGCTTTTGTCCATGGAACATGTCCATTTTAACATTCGCCCTCCATCCTGGGAGGATTTACTGAACACCTACTGTATGCTAGGTTCTGAACACGCTGTTATCTCATCTAAACCTCACAACATCCCTAGGAGTGAAGCAATCCCTCCAGCAGTCCCTCTCCTCCTCAGGTCTCAATGTCCAGGAAGGAATATGTTCAGCTGCAAGTAACAGAATGGGGAAATAATGGGGCCTTAAGCAAGATAGAACTTTATTTTTTTTTCATCTAAAAGTTCAAGCTAGCAAGTTGCCCAGCGACTCCTTCCTGCCCACCTGGTTTGGTCATTGTCTGTGTCCTTCTCTGGCCCCAAGACTCTTAGCCTTCAACAAATTCTGTTGCTTCTCTATTCAAAATATTTCCCAAATCCACCCTCTCCTGACCACCTCCACTGCCAGCACCATCGCCAGTCACCTGGACTACTGCAGTAGTCGCCTCTTTGCTAGTCCCCTGCTTCCACCCTCGGCCCCTATACTACTACACTCAGCAGTCAGGGGAATCCTGTAAAATCCAAAGACAGTTTATGTCTCTCCTCTGCTGACAACCCTCCCATGCCTTCCTCCTCACTCAGAGTGAAAGCCAAAGTCCTCACCGTGGCCTACAAGGTCCTACATGGTCTAACCCTGCATAGTCCCCTCTCTGACCTGACCTCCTACCCCTCTTCTTCTTGCTGTCTCTACACTAACCAAACGAGCCTCCTTGTAGACCTTGAACAAATCAGGTACACTTCCACCTCAGGGACTTTGCACTGGCTGTTTCCTCTGGCATTCCTCAGATATCTATGCAGCTCCCTCCCTCACCTCCTTCAAGTCTTTGCCAAAGGCCCCCTTCTCTGGGGACTTTCCCCAACTTGTTTAATCCTGCTCACACTCCCCTATTTCCCAGTCTTTCCAATCTCCTTCCCCAGAAGGCTTCTATGCCATAGGATATAGTCTAGTATAGAGAGAAGGCAGTGACCTCTGCCCGTCTGACCCCTAGCCCTCATTCTGCAAGGATCCTGGCTTTCAGCAGCAGTAGCATCACCCATCCCACACTCTGGGCCCCGCTGAAGGGGCCTCCTGGGACTCTTTGGGCCACTACTCTCACTCAGTTTTCCTCCTGTCTCTCCGGCTACTCTCTCTCATGGAGTAAATGACAGTAAAGGAGAGATGGTCTAGGGAAAGCATGAGGAGGATACAGCCCCTATCTCTGACCCTGAGAGAGAAAGGTAGCTCCGTTTTCCAGGAGGGGACAAGTGCTGGGGCAGGGAACAAGATCTCTGCTTCTAGAACTGGCCTGGTTTATATTAATAATTACACAGGAGGTGCAGGAAATGTTCATATCCAAGTCTGCAGGTTGCAGGGGGTCATTAACCTTGGGAACATCCCTACTGTCAGCTCCGCAGGACTCTTTGCTGACAACCGTGCTCTGCACCCCCTACCTTGCTCCCTCCCACATGCTGTAACATCTGTTAAGCACCTGCTGTACACAGGGTCCATGCAGGTCTCTAAGCTGGGGACCTCATCACGCCTTGGTGCCTCCTCTGGCTGTCCAGCACACACAAGCCATCTTTGGGTCTCAGACATGGCCCACCAACCCAGAAGCCTCAACCAGTGAAAGTTTTGTTTTGAACTAATGGTAGGAAGGGTTGGGGTTTTTTTAATTGTTGTTGATTGATTTTTTTTTTTTAGGTCTTTTTTTTTTTTCTATTCGCTTTTTTTTTTTTCTTGTCTTCACAAAGCCAGGACATCAGGCCCACTCTGGGCGTTTCCAGAAGGGTGAGTCTGAGTTGAGCAAAGAGGCTCTCCTTTTTTTGAGGGCTTAGAGGGTGGGGGAAGGAAAAAGATGAAGGGGTGAAGGAGTGGGTCTTGGCCCACTAGATTTGTACCATGCGAATAAAAAGCTGTTTCCAATTTCTCTTCCCCAGGCCTGAAACCAGTCTTGCAGAGGGTCAGAGTGGACGTTGGATGACTAGGACCCTGGGCTACGCAGGGCGCTGGCAAGCTGGGGACTGGAAGTCTCGGCCATGGCCGGTCAGGAGAAGCCCCTGGGGGCTGGTCTCTGATGTTGACCAGTGGTTGAAGAGAGTGCCTGCTGAGGTGAGGAGATGCAGCCGCCAATTCTTGGACAACCTTAAAACCTCCCAAGCTTCAAGCCTCCAGAGGAATCTCCAAATCCCAGAACCTCCCTGTCACCACATCCTAGAATTTAAAACCTGAGACATTGGGTTTGGGGAAACCTGAGGGTTTCAAAGCCCGGCACCAAGGAAGGGAGGACCCCCACTCGCCAGCTCTGTGATCTTGGGCAAGCTGTTGGACTACTTTGTGCCTCTGTTTCCCCCGTCTATATAACGGCAATACAGTAATGACGAGATGGAATTCAAAGAGCTGTGGTGAGGTTTGTATGTGATCATTTGTGAGAAGCGTTCAGAGCTGTGTCTGACACGTGGAAAATTCGAGATAAATGTCAGCTACTAGAGTGATGGCGGATATTTGGAATCCTAAATCCTTGGAAACTGGGGCTTTTCAAAGTAAAAAATTGCAAAGCCTGGGGGCTGCAGAAGCATCAGGCCATGGTGTTCCTGACATGAGAGAGTCGGGGTCCCAAGGGGCCTCTGGGCTTCTTTGTGCAGACGGAGGCCTACTGGGAAGTAGGGCAGCGGCCAGGGCAGAGCACTCAAGCCCTGAAACATGATGAGGCGAGACTTTCCTCCCTTTCCTCACTCAGTGGCCATCAGTGGATTCTGGGAGCCAGTGGTTCTCCAACTCTTCAAGTGAGGGTGGACTCCCCGCATTTTCCTCCATAAAGTAACTTATGTGCCCCTCACCCTCTGTGGAAGGGAGTTGCAGGGGTGTCCAGACTCCCCTGTTTGGGCAGTTTGAGTGATGGGAACCATATCAGTTCCACATAAGGGGAAACCGAGTCCTAGAAGCTTCTGGAAAGCCAGCCCTATTCCATTTCTTTCCCTGGCATTTCCCAACCACACACAGAGCTTTGGATTCTCATTCTTTCCCCAGAGACCCTGAGATATTCTCTCCATCACAGAATGGTGTCTCTGCCTGCTCTGAGATGTCTCTGTGATTTGAGTTCTTTTCCCTTGTTGTTTTTTTTTTTCTAACTCTACACACTTTTGTTTAAAAAACTGTGGTTTCTCATGAGCCCTGTTATCTCATTGATACCTCTCACCTCTGTGGTGAGGGGAAGAAATCATATTTTCAGATGACTCGTAAAGGGCAAAGAAAAAACCCAAAATTTCAAAATTTCCGTTTAAGTCTCATAATCAAGAAGAGGAGAAACAAAGCGAGAGAGAGAGAGAGAGAGAGAGAGAGAGAGAGAGAGAACTATGAGAACCCCCCCCACCCTGTGATTATCAGCGCATACACTCATCAAAAAAAAAAATTTGGATTATTAGAAGAGAGAGGTCTGTGGCTTCCACGCCGTGGTTTTTCTTCTCGGTATAAAAGCAAAGTTGTTTTTGATATGTGACAGTTTCCCACAAGCCAGGCTGATCCTTTTCTGTCAGTCCACTTTGCCAAGGTGAGTGTCCCCGCTCTCACCCACCAGATGTGGGCTGCCATAGAGGAGATGGTGGGCAGGTAGGCACGGGGGGTCAGGGGCCCTCTGCTACAGTCGGACACACCCAGCCACTGTGGTTCCGGCCAGGTAAGGTCTTTTTAAAAATAATAATAGTCGTAATAAATACCAGAAGACTGATAGATGAAGTACTTAATCAGTGCTTGGACAGGGGCAAAGATAAATAAATTGATCAACTGGTACGTAGATGGGTAAAATTTTTTAAATATGTCATCTGCTGGTCTTGATGGATTTCAGAGCTTTGAACAACTTGAAATGCTGTCCGGGTGTAACTGGAAATTTCAACTGCATCTCTCCCTTCACTCTTGATGCCTCCCATCCCTCTCGGTCTCTCTGCTCACCCTGTCTTACTCTTTCCTGGTTTCTCTACCCCTCTTTCTCTCACCATCTGTCTGGCTTCGTCGCATTCAGACTCTGTCCCTCCATCTTTCCCAGGCTCTGGCCATTTCCCCTGTCTCCGTCTCCTCCATCTTGACCACACTCCATCTATCTCCCTCCCCCGTCTGTCTCCCACCACCTTCCCCGCCTGCCTTCCCACCCAGGACCCGAAAAGAGCTTTGTACATAGCTAGTGTTTAATAATAATGTGCTGAGTAACATCGCTGAGGACATGTACATTTTACGAGAATGAGCATCAGTTCTGTTTGCCCCAGCAGTGGGAGGATTGTGAGCTGTCAGGTCGGGCCGAGCTCTTCCCTGAACTGTGCTTGCGTCGTGTGAAAGGAGACCCTCCTGGGGGGCACTTCACATCATTGTCAACGATGGTTTAGCTGTGTGGTCCTACCCCAGGACTGCATGCGTGTGACCAGAACCCATGTTCAGGAAGAGAGCAGGTCGTTCCGGGCTGGGGTGAGCTTGTTTCTGCAGGCTTAGCACAGTGCTTGCCTGTGCTCACTGTCAGCTATTAGTATTTTTTTAACCAAATTAGAATCACGCTATATATTGGTTTTGTTCCTGCTTTATTCAATTAATAGGAGCGTTTTTGAAGCTCACTAAAAATTGTTTGAACATATGATCTTTCATGGCTGTCAAGACTGTCCTCACATGGGTGTGAACTGATAGATTTGACCAAGTGCCGATTTTTGGACATTCCAGTTGTTTCTAGTTTTTCACCATAAACATCCCTGATTGTTTCCTTGGATTCCTGAAAATGGAGTTGCTGGGGCAAAGGGGATGTGCACATTTAAGGTTTCTGACCCTCTGCAAATTGTTCTTCCAAAAGGTTGTCCTGTTTTTTACTCCCTCTACTCAAGCTAACCCTGGGTGGGTACTGTCATTTTTTAATTCTTTCCCAACATAACAGGTAAGAAAAAACATTACTGCATTGTTGAAATTTGCATTCTTTGATTACTCTATTGTTTACTGACCATTTGTGCTTTTTTTTTTTTGGTTGTCCAGTCGTGTCTTTAGTCCTAATAGGGTATTCATCTTTTCTTACTGATTTGCCACAGCTCTTTATTTGAAAGGATATTAACCTTCCATCAGCCATACATTTGTAGCAATTATTTTCCCTCAATTCATCATTTGCTTTTTGTATTTGTTTATGGTATTTTTTGTGATGCTTATGATGTTTTTATATAGTCAAATAGGTTAGTCTTTTCTTCTGTGGTTTCTGTCTCTGGTTTTGTGCTTAGAAAGTCTTTTCCCACTTGAAAATGAGATAAATGTTCACCTATGTTGGCTTCTCATCTCTTTTATGGCTTCATTTTTTCCATTTACTGTAGAGGTTAAGAGTGTGGGTACTGGAGCCAGACTGTCTGGGACAAACTCAGCCTCACCCTAAGCAATCTGTGTGATTTTTAGCCAGGCACTTAACCTCTCCTTATCTTCATTTCCTCACATGTACTGTGATGGTTATAATAGTACCTACCTCAAAGGGTCTTTGTGAAGACTAAATTTATTAACTATGATTTATCATGGCTTAACACAGGGCCTGACATACAATAAACCCAAGATCAACATTAGATATTAAAATTAATCTCTTTAATGGATCTGAGTATTTTAGGGTATATGATGATGATGACATTTCAAACTGCGGTGGGGGTGGTGGGAAAATGGACTGATTATTCATTCAATAACTTTATTTTCCTCCTAATTATCTCAGAAATATTTATTAAACAATCCATCCTCCACCAATCCCAGTTTGAAATGCCACATTCATCACAAACTCGATTCTCTCCTTGCAAGGGTCTGTGTCCAAGCTTTCTACTCTGTTCTGTTCCGCAGTATCTGTTCTAGTACCCGGGCCATGCTGTTTTGCTGGTTGTCTCTTTACAATACAATTCAACCCAGCCATGTGCATCCCCGGCACCTCACCCTTCCTTATTCTTTGTTATTTCAGGAAAATCAGTTCCTCCAGCCAGAGACCAGCTACTATTCTTATTTGGGCAATATCTCTCTCTCTCTCTCTCTCTCTCTCTCTCTCTCTCTCTCTCTCTCTCTCCATCTCCATCTCTGTTTCTCTCAATGTCTCATGTCTCTCACTCTCTTGTTCTCTGTCTTTTGCTCTCTGTGTCTGTCTCTCTCCCACCTTATGTGTCTCTCTTCATCTCTCTCGGTATCTCTTAGTCTTTGTGTCTCTCTGTTCCCCCATGTCTGTCAGTCTCCTCTCTCCCTCTCCTCATTGCTGTCTCTCTTTTTGTCTCTGCATCTCTCAGCCAGTCCCCTTGACAGAGGGACAGTTGTCAACTTGAAGCCCTGCAGACACCCAATGACTCACTCAGATACAGAGCAGAAGAGTCCTGGCCCTCATCTGCCCCATGCCTCTCCCTCCCTCAGCGTAGAAAAGCAAGTTGAGGCCCAGAGATGGGTGGGAGGGCTTCTCCCAAGGCCTTACAGAGATGCAGTTGAGACCCAAGCCCAGATCTCAGGACTCTCGGCAGGACCTTGGCTTTGTCTTTCTCCCCTACTGTGGGCCTCAGTTTGCCCCTCAGCACCCATAAGGGCAAAGGAGGACTTTGGCTGCCATTCCCCCTTCTGCCTTCCCACTGGTTGGACCCTGACTAGGACAGAAAGATCTACAATCACAACATGGGGCCCAGCCTCACAAGAGCTGGGCCAGATGGAGTCAGGGGGCCTAGTTGGCCAGAGGGTGATGATGATGGAAGGTGTTTTTCAAGCTGCGTGTCCCCAGAGCTGGTGCTGGTCCCTGGGAACCTCGATCCTAGATCCTCTCCACAGAGCCTGGTGGTGGGCTCTATATTGGCAAGAGTGGTGGGGCTTTTCCTACTCCCCCATGAGGCACAGGCTGAAGGCACGCCAGCCTCAACCTCCTCCTCTTTCCATCACCATCTCAGGTGGAGTGGCTATGAATCTAGGACAGTCATCCCAGAATGGACAGGGAGACTGAGGCCCTGTAGGTGTTCATTTACCAATCATTGACATTTTGCAAAGTGTCTCATGTGCATTAACTTCAGCAGATGGGTCCTATTACTGCCTAATTTCCAAATCAGCCCACAGAGAGTTATCCAGTTATCAACTGAGCCTGGCCCCAGGCTGTGGGGAGCAGAGGGGGTTATTCTGACCCTCTACCTGCACGGAGTTCAGGAGGGAGGTTGAGGGGAGGTTTGCTGTGATTCTAGGCCTGGTGGGCAGGAGACCCTATGAAGTAGTGAGCTGCCTGTCCTTCACATGGTTCCAGGGAGTTTGGATACCAGGGACATTGGCCTACACATACTGAGAAGTTGGACCCATGGACCACACAGAGTTTGTGGTTTTGAGAATCTGGGATCCTTTGAATCTAAGAAATAGTGTTCTACAATTCTGAAGTTCTGGTGTTGTACTGTTTGAAGACCCCAGGGGTCCCAGTACCTGTGGGGCCTGCCTGGTACTCCTTGAGCTTCAAACCTGGGGCCTCTCTACAGCCCAAGAAGGTCCAGGTCTACAGAGCCCATGGCTCATCATGGTGGCCAAATGGATGTCACCTACCACATCCGCCAGCACCCACATCACGCCACCTGGGCCAAGCCGGCTGCAGGACAGGCCAGCCAGTTCTCGGAACGAAACCCGTGAGGTGGGGTATCTGCCCCCTTTGCTTCCTCCTTGGTGCCGATGAAGCCCAGCGCATCCGGCCGCCATGACGTCAATGGCAGAAAAATCTGGGGAAGTTGGGGGCTGTGACAACAGGGCCCAGATGCAGACCCCGATACGAAAACATAATGTGTCCCAGAAACATCCTCCATGCAGCTTCTGAGAAACCTAGTCAGAAAGGGACGCCCCAACAGACAGTGCAGGAAGCTGACTGCCCAGCCCGGCCCTCCTGGTCCCCCACCACCAGACAGACCATACCTAGGCCCCCTTTCTGAGAATGTAGTGATGCTTCCCTGAGTCAGGCCATTCCAGATGTGTTTGGGGAGGAGAATTCTTATAAGCTCTGACCAAGTGTCCAGGCAGCTTCAGAAGTGACCACAGGCCGGGCGCGGTGGCTCACGCCTGTAATCCTAGCTCTCTGGGAGGCCGAGGCGGGCGGATTGTTTGAGCTCAGGAGTTCGAGACCAGCCTGAGCAAGAGCGAGACCCCGCCTCTACTAAAATTAGAAAGAAATTAATCGGCCAACTAAAAATACATAGAAAAAATTAGCCGGGCATGGTGGCGCATGCCTGTAGTCCCAGCTACTCGGGAGGCTGGGGCAGTAGGATCACTTGAGCCCAGGAGTTTGAGGTTGCTGTGAGCTAGGCTGACGCCACGGCACTCACTCTAGCCAGGGCAACAGAGTGAGACTCTGTCTCAAAAAAAAAAAAAAAAAGAAGTGACCACAGGCCAGCCACGTGGGCCAGGCCCAAGTGGTAGAAACATCTACTCACTGACCATGAGATCAGTATTAGTTTGCTTGGGCTGCTGTAACAAAGTATCACGACTAGGTGGCTTACACAACAGAAATTTATCATCTCCCAGTTCTGGAAGCTAGAAGTCCTAGAACAAGGTGTCGGCAGGGTTGGTTCCTTCTCCACGCTGTGAGGGACAATCTGCTCCGTGCCTCTCCCCTAGCTTCTGGTGGTTTGCTGGCAATCTTTGCTGTCCCTTGGCTTGTAGAAGCATCACTTCATCCCTGCCTTGATTCATTCACTCATTACCTCCTCATCTCACCATTTTCCCAGGTCCTTGTTCTGGGTCTCCACAGACAGGGATTATCACACAGTAATGTTCTAGCCAAGAGACTAAAGGTTTAACACCTGGATTCTCACACCCATCTCCCTCAGCACCACAGCTTTGACAAGCCCTGTGAGGTAACAGCAAAGAAAGGAGGGAGCGACCGCTCCTTCAGAATCCTCCTGTGCTCCCCTGGGCTGCGCTCGGCAGCTGTGCGCTCAACCCAGTGCCGCGGGGTGGGACAGGGAGTCACACACATGCGCAGCAGAGGGCTTGGGAAATGCGCACATGGGCATACACATTTCTGGAAGAAAGAAGTGGCGGTCTCGCGTTGCCATGGGTCTATGGAACTCGGCACCTGGGTGTCCCCTTCGATAAAATAGGAGTTGGACTGGGCTTCCCCTCAGACTGGGATTACAGGGTCCTGAGAAGCCCAGGCCCTGCGTGTCAGGGAGCGTAAGGTTCTGGGGCTCAGCAGAGGGCCCTGGAGCCATCGTGGAGGGCTTTCAGGACGAGGACAATAGAAGAGCAGGCCTTGCGTGGCTCGGACAAGGGAAGAGGCGGAGGAGTGGGCATCCTTGGCAGGGCGAATAGCATGAGCGGGGCTTGGAGGCAGGCTTGGGGGGCAGAGGTTGGGTGAACTCTGATGGGGGCTGGGTTGAGGGGCTCCCACAGCCCCTGGCTCAGGTGAGCCTGTCTCTCCTCCTCTCTGGCATGTGCCGTGCCATCTCCGTGCAGGGCAAGAGCCCAGAGCTGATCAGACTCCTGGACTCAGCCCCTTGCCCTGAGCTCCAGATCCTGTATTCAGCTGCCCGCTCGGCATTTCCACTCACGTGTCTAGCGCCACACTCTTCATGTCCCTGTACACCTGGGCTTTCACCCCCAACCCTACACTGCCCCATGATGTCCCCATCTCAGGTAATGTCAGCTCTGTCCTTCCAGCTGCTCGGGCTGAACCCCAGAAGTCACCTTGACCCTCCCTCTCTCACCCCCCACATTCAAGCTGCCAGCAGCTGCTCCTGAATCCACCTTCAGAATAGCCTCAGAATCCACCTGCTTCTCACCATCTCCACTGCTCCCACCCTGACCTGTGCCACCGTCGTCACGTGCCTGGACCATTGCAGTAGCCCCCTCACTAGTCCCCTTCACAGCAGCCAAACGACTCTTTTTTTGAGTCCGTGCCCAAGTCACTGGGGTAAAATAGTGCCCCCAGGAGAAAGTGAGAGATCGGCCCTGGCAGGATGAGCAAAGGCCACGTGGCCTGTGCAGGGAGCAGAGAGGACAGAGGGCTGAGGCTTGAAGACAGCTGCAAATGGTGGGGGAATGGACTGAGACCTACGCGGGCTGAGGCCCCACAAATCTATCGCCCATTGCCCTTGTGGAGGACACATCCATGCCAGGGCTGTGCCGGCATGTGGAGACAAGCTGGGTACTGGACCCGTGCACGTGGGGCACGTGTGGGTACGCTCATGGACCTGTGTTCCTGACACCAATGTGTGTGTGTGTGTATACATGATCAGAGCTGGGGTGCAGCTGTGGGGCCCTTCGGCACATGTCCCAGCCGATGCCTGCTCTAACCAGAACGGGTGTCTGCATAGTTTGGGTGGGTGAATATCTCGCACCGCCCGCAGCACATGTGTGACTCCTTCCCCGTCTCTCCATGCAGCCTGCCCTCAGGCAAGGACCCAATGCCCAACTCCAGGCCAGCCAAGCCTCCGGCCCCTTCCTTGGCCCTTGGTCCGTCCCCAGGAGCCTCACCCAGCTGGAGGGCTGTGCCCAAGGCCTCAGATCTGCTGGGGGCCAGGGGCCCAGGAGGAACCTTCCAGGGCCGGGACCTCCGAGGCGGGGCCCATACCTCCTCCTCCTCCTCTTCCTTGAACCCCGTGCCACCATCGCAGCTGCAGGTGAGGCCCCAGGCCCAGGATGGGGCAGGCAGGGTGGGGTACCTGGGCCTACAGGTGCCGACCTTTACTGTGGCACTGGGCGGGAGGGGGATGCTGGCTGGGGCACAGGAAGTGGTTTCTGGGTCCCAGGCAAGTCTGTGACTTATGCAGATGTCACAGGGCCAAGAAAGTCCCCACTTGCCAGGCCTTAGAGATTCGAGGCTCTCCCCAACCTCCCAATCCCTGTGTCAGGAGAGGAGGAGAACCTATGGTGGTCCCATGGGCACAGCCATGTGTCACCATTCCCATGTGACAGGAGAGGGCTGAGGCCCAAGGAGGTGAGGTGACAGGGTTGAGGCCAGTCCTGCCACTTATTACCTGTTTGATCTTGAAAGTGACTCAATCTCCATAAGCCTCAGTGTCCACACATGTGAAATGGGAATGATCATAGTATCTACCATGTGGGGAGTTATAGGAATTAGACACAGGACAATGAGGATGAGGATGGCATCTCACCTGCCTACCTTACCACCCCCCAGCTGCCCACAGTGCCCCTAGTCATGGTGGCACCCTCCGGGGCACGGCTGGGCCCCTCACCCCACTTGCAGGCACTCCTCCAGGACCGACCACACTTCATGCACCAGGTATGGACCATGAATGGGCAGGAAGGTGGGAGAACTTTGGTGAGCGGCCCCAAGCCAGGCTGAACCGTGGCCCACGTGTATCCCCAGCTCTCAACAGTGGATGCCCACGCCCGGACCCCTGTGCTGCAGGTGCACCCACTGGACAGCCCCACCATGATCAGCCTCCCACCACCCACCGCCACCACCGGGGTCTTCTCCCTCAAGGCCCGGCCTGGCCTGCCACCTGGTAACACCTCAGCCTATACCCCACGGCTTCACAGAACCCCAGAGTCCCCAAATCCTTGAAAGTGAGCAGTGCAGGCTGTTCTGAATAGCGGCCCCCTGGAGGTCAGAGGTGTCAGGTCTCAGAGGCTTGGAAACTCCAACCTCCAAAAAACGTCAGGTTCAGAATCTTAAAGATGCAGAATGTCAAAATTGCGGAACCACAGATCTTTACGAAGTTAGTCAAAATGTCAGCACTTGCAAATAGCAGTCTTTCTGCTGCTCTGCCAGAAGCCTGGGACTTTTGGGACAGCAGAGCCCCCTGGGAGTCAGGGCCTTCGAGGCTCAGGAGGGTGGGAAGCTCAAAATGAGAAGCCTTGTGGGCTAAGCTCCAGAGCCTGGCCCACAGCCCCCAGAGATACCCTGTCCCCACCTGCAGGGATCAACGTGGCCAGCCTGGAGTGGGTGTCCAAGGAGCCAGCACTGCTCTGCACCTTCCCAAGTCCCGGTGCACCCAGGAAGGACAGGTCGGTGGACAGGGCTGGGAAGGACTCTCACTCTGCTATCCCCTCCCCTGATACCCTCTGTCCCCCCAGCGCTCTTTCAGCCGTGCCCCAGAGCTCCTACCCACTGCTGGCAAATGGCGTCTGCAAGTGGCCTGGATGCGAAAAGGTCTTCGAGGAGCCAGAGGACTTCCTCAAGTGAGTGACCCGGGTGCACGCCAGTCCAGGGGGTCCTGGTTTATGTGAGGCGATCTGGGGTGCACATCTCAGCTCAGGCCTTATCCCGATAGGTAGTAAGACGAAAAAGGTAAACGCTGGGACTGTTGATTCAAATCCCAGCTCCAGCTCTCACTGGCTGCGTGTGCTTGGGCAAGTTACTCAGCTTCTCCGGACCTCAGTTTCCTCATATGTCTAGTGGGGTATAATAATAAAGGTATGTACTGTTATTTACCTCCATTTTACAGACAAGGTAACTGAGGCCAAAGAGGTTAAGTGTCTTGATCAAGATCACCCAGTTCCTGAGTGACAGAGCTAGGATTTAAAACCAGACAGCCAGGCTCCAGAATCCATACTCCTAACTGCTTTGCTCTATGGCTCCTCATGCCAGCACGCCAGCCTAATTTCATTGATCCCCAAAGTCCCAGCTCCTCTAGATGGCTGTTGCCGACTCCCCTCAGCCCCATCTCTCTCACACACACACACACACACACACACACACACACACACACTACACTCCTTCTCTGACTATACCCAACTATTAGCAGCAACTCAGCATGTCCCTCACATAGGCCAGGCCTTCGCACAGGCTGTTCCCTTCACTCGAATGCCTTTCCCACTCTCACCCGCCTGGCCCACTGTCAGCTCACCACCCTTCCAACATCTTCTCAGAGGGCGCGCTCAGGCCTGGCACACAGTAAGTGCTGAGTGGCATGTGTTGAAGGAATGACAGGCGTGAGAGAGAGACTGAGGTAGAGAGGGGAGGGGAGCTCTGAGGAGAGACCTTCCAGAAGGTCTGGGCCATCCCCACTAGGAACGTTGAGCCAGCCAGGCCTGTCATGGTTACCTGCATGGAATCTTCCCCCTACCTAGGCACTGCCAGGCGGACCATCTCCTAGACGAGAAGGGTAGGGCACAATGTCTCCTCCAGAAAGAGGTGGTACAGTCTCTGGAGCAGCAGGTAACGCTGAGAGGGGATAGGGGATGGGGGGCAAAACTTCTGTCCGCTCCATGCCAGGAGCCAGGCTCCCCCACGGTGAGGGATGGCATGAATGAAGAACAATAGCCCGGGCAAAGATGTGGTGGGAAAAGGCTGGGTTGAGGCCTCACTTTTGTGCCTGTCCTCACAGCTGATGCTGGAGAAAGAGAAGCTGGGTGCTATGCAGGCCCACCTGGCCGGGAAAATGGCCCTGACCAAGGCGCCATCTGCGGTGAGCAACCTCGAGCCGGTGAGCAACCTCGAGCCAGTAGGCGGCAAGCACAGACCGCTGCGGGGAGCAGAGGGAGCCCTGCAGGGACAGGGAACCTATCTCTACATGCGGGCCCTGTGATCTATGGGCCCTTGTCCTCAGCTCCAAACATGCCCAGACCTGGGAATCCAACCCCCTCCACTTGAAACCATCTGACCCTAGGATCCTGAAGCACCGTGATCCTGGGTTTTCAAAGCAACAGCAAATAGCCACGTAGCGAACAGACTATGTGCCAGTAGGACCAGCTACCCAAACAGGCAGGGGCCAGTGCAAACTGAAAATGCAGGCCCCTTATTCAAATTGCAAGACAGTGACCACAGAGCATTAAAGCATGAGGTCCTGTGTAACTAGACAGGTCACATGCCCATGAAGCTGGCCCTGGGTGCCAGGCACTGTTTCTGAGCACTTTGTTGATATTAACTTATTCGGTCCTCATGACGCCACCGTGAGGTAGGTACCACTATCATCTCCAACTCACAGATGACAAAAACTGAGGCCAGGGAGGTTTAGGTGACTTTCCCAAGGTCACAGTTGGATGGTGAAGGAGACTGATTCAACCCTGGCTCATAGCCCCAGTGTTGGCGGCTACATACGGCGTGTGCACCCACACTCTAATAAATGCAGTTCATGCTGCTCTATGGGATTCCACACTAGTATGGAATTGAGAAGAGGGGGCCCTTACTTTTAAAAACAGTGATTTAAAAATAAAGTGGAAAGTTTAAGCCTCTGAGTCACCAGCCTCTCCCTCCTCCCCCAGACATCATCCGACAAGAGCTCCTGCTGTATTGTAGCGGCTGGCACCCAGGGCACTGTCGTCCCAACCTGGCCCAGCCCCCGCGAGAACCCCGACAGCCTCTTTGCTGTGCGGAGGCACCTGTGGGGCAGCCATGGAAACAGCACTTTCCCAGGTAAAAATGGCCCTTGCCCTACACGGTGACCCCAAGCTCCTCTTCCTGACAGGCGCTGGGGGGCGGGGTGGGGGGGTGCAAAGTGGCTCCGCCACTTAACCAGTTACATCCTTTGGTGTGCAAGTTACTTCACTTTTTTTAAACCCCGAGGAGAGCTATTTTGGCAGGAGTGGTGCAAAGACTAAATGATACGACATATGTCAGGTGCCCAGCAAACAACAGTCCTATGACCGTTGACACTGGTGTTGACGGTGGGATTTCAGACAGTGGGATTTCACCCTCCCACTGGAGAGAGAGTGTGGGGCAGGGAGCTAGGAGGTCCTGCACAGCATGGGGCCTGATTCGTCCCCACTCTCTGACAGAGTTCTTCCACAACATGGACTACTTCAAGTTCCACAACATGCGGCCCCCTTTCACCTATGCCACCCTCATCCGCTGGGTAAGCAGGGCAGCTCAGGCCCAAGGACGAGGGAGAGGGAGAGGGGTGGGGACCTGCCTCCCAGACTCCCACCTCCCTCTGGGCACCTCCGAGTGGGCTCCTCCATTAACAAGCCCCAGCCCTGAGAAGCCCCAAGACACACCTCAAATGTGATCCCCGTGCTGGCTTCACCCCAAACCTGTCCCTGAACCCAAACCTAAACCACCATCCAGGCCATTGCACGCCAAATTCTGACCCTAAACCCACCCCTTTCCAGATGCTCACCTCAACCCCATACCTAACCCTTTCCTGGCCCTACAAAATAGCCCAAAACTTACCCCATCTCTGCCCCTTGCCCTAAGCCCACCCCAGCTATTACCCTATCTCCTTCCCCGGCCTTTATGTCAACCCAACCCTGTATCTTCCCCAGCCCCAATGTACCCCAGTACATCAACCCACACCCCAGCTGGATCCCATCCCTCACCCTTCCATGTGACACCCACCTGACCCTTAACCTCAGCCCATCCCAGCCCCTTCATCTCAGCCTCCCAGAACCTTCATCCAGCCCCACACCTAACCCCAAACCCAAACCTAACCCTTACATAACGCCAGCTCTTCCTGACTCTGTCTGAACCCCTAGCCTAGCCCCATCCTGACCCATAACTTCGTGGCAGTCGCAATCACTGACTCATTAATCCCATTCCTCAATCCAAACAGATCAAATTCCCTGACCCTCAGCCTCACTCCACACCTAACCCACAACTCACTTCACTCTTACCCCTGAATCTAACCACCTGCCAAATCCCCGACACGTAAAACACTCCATAACCAGGCCCATCTCTGACTCCTGACCTAATGCCACATGTCGTCCCATCCCTCACTCCTAACTCACCCCAGGCCACCCCCAGCCTGACTTTTAACCAACCCCTTCCCTGACCCATAACTCAGCCTGGCGCTTTACCCCTTCCAAATCCTTGACCCCACTACTGGCCCCTGACCTTCCCAAACCCTGAAATGTCACCCCCATATAGAACCCCAACTCCAACTCCATCCAGACCTTGAACTTCACTCCAGTTCTAACCCCGAATATGACTTTGCTCCCAAACTCAGCTCTGTTCCTTTACCTAATCTCAAGCTGACCACAGCCACCCCATCTAACCCTGTCCAGACCCTACCCCTCACCCAGCTCCTAACCCTGTCCCTGATCCTTCACTCTGCACCATCTCTCTCCCTCTCCTCCCCCCATCGTCACAATCCTACCCCCATGTCAGACGGCCCAGGGTAGGCCACTGCACCCCTCAGCCCCGACTTTGGAAGAACGCACCCCTTACCCCATCCACACCCTCCAGGCCATCCTGGAGGCTCCCGAGAAGCAGCGGACACTCAACGAGATCTACCACTGGTTCACACGCATGTTTGCCTTCTTCAGAAACCACCCTGCCACTTGGAAGGTGAGCTCGTCCGGAGGTGGCAGTGGCCGGGATGGCCTCGAGTGCCACTGCAGCTTGGGAGCGGGCGGGCCTGGGGCTGTACTCATAGGCACGCTGGCAGCGGGGTGGGGGCTGCTGAGCTCAGAGTATGACTGCCCACCTGCTCCGGCACCCCTGGCCTCCCACAGAACGCCATCCGCCACAACCTGAGCCTGCACAAGTGCTTCGTGCGGGTGGAGAGCGAGAAGGGAGCCGTGTGGACCGTGGATGAGTTCGAGTTCCGCAAGAAAAGGAGCCAGAGGCCCAGCAGGTGTTCCAACCCTACACCCGGCCCTTGAGCTCAAGACCAAGGAAAGAAGGAAGGACAGGGGCCAAGATGGGGGCAGAGGTGGCAGGTAGCAGGGGTGACAGGTCCTGGACATGCCCATAGGGAGGAAGTGAGGTGTCCACTGTCTTGCTTTCCAGAGCCCCTGTTTCCCAGCCGGCAGCCCTCCTGGGTCATATCCTCTGTCCCCAGACTGCTCAGAGGGGGCCCAGTCCCGGCCCCAGCCCCCACCTCCACCCTGCCCCACCCCACCCGAGATGGGCCCGCCAGCCAAACGGAGCCTTCACAACCAGCCATACACAGCCTGCCTCAGCCACTCTCACAGATGACCTCAGGGCTGGAAAAGTCACAGACACAGACTGTCACAATCCTGGCCCCTGGACTCTAACACAAACTCAAAACACAAAGAGCCTGCCTCAGCACACTCAAATGACCTCAAAGCTGCAGTCACATGAACAAGCACACATGAGCACAATCCTATCAACTCATATACCCCAAAGCACGCGCCCACAGCCAGCCTCGGGGCCCACGGGGACAGTATCACGCAGGGGTGTGCCGAGACACCAGCACAGAAGCAGCGTCAGTACCCCCAGGGTCTCAGGTCCCAGAAAGCCACACGGACACATAATCGCTCATGCACGGTCTCATGCAGCCCGACACATGCTTGGTCACACACACAGCCCGTTAGCATTCACCTGCATATCTCACACGTGTGCACACGTGTGCACACGCACAGCTCCCCCGTGGGTCTCCCGAGTCCCATACACACACATAGCCACGCACACTGACTTGCCAAAACATACCCTGCGTCTCCCCTGCCACCCACCCCACTCCCCTGCCCCGAGCCCCAATCCATGCCTCAGCTTTGACTGCAGAAGAACTCCTTGTTTATTTGAGATCCGAGGCCCCCAATCCCCAGTAGTACCCTCCCCAATAAATTGCAGCCGAGCTCCCAAACGCCGATGATCACCCCAGATAAGGGTTGGGGTCAGGTGGGCAGGGGTCTGGGTCCAAGGCCGTAGGGGGAGGAAGTGGACAGCAAGCAGAGGGAATAGCTACAGTAGGTGCTTGGTCACTGCCTCCAGCACTCCAAATCCCTGCCTAAGTCTGGGGAGATCTCTGTCGAGGGCTCCTCAGGCCTCCCGGACCCGGACCAGGAGGCCGGCATTCTCCTGGCGGAGGGCTCGGTAGTCCTCGCGGATCTTCTCCAGGTTGCTGAGGGTCTTCTTGCCCATCTCTGTCTCGATCTAAGGCGATGTGAACACACAACCCATCCGCATGCAGGCCCCTCTCCCAGCTGCTGCTCGCCACGCCCCATCACGGCCACTATGGGTCCCCCCAACCCCAGCATCCACCTGCTCCATCCCACCGCCAGGCCTTTGCGCGTGGCATTCCCTCCACCCAAAGCATTCTTTGCTATGAGGCAGGATTCTGCACCACATCTTCAAGCCTCTGCCAACGGCCCTGGGAGGCAGGTGTGAGGGCCCTTGGGGTAGAGGCTGGGGCGCACAGTAGGCCACTAGCCTGACCAGATCACATGCACAGGCACTAAGGGGCAGGGCTGGGCCTCCAGCTGTAGGCTGTGTCTGGTTCCACAGCCTCTAAGCTTAAACTGAGGAGCTGGCCCCTGGCCTGCCTTGGTTCTCCCTCCCACCCCCAGGCCTCACCTGCTCCTCGAGGTCTCGAACCTCCCGCATGATAGTGCCTGTGTCCTCGATGGTCTGGATGAGCTGGCTGCAGTTCTAGGAGCAGGAGCAGAAGGCTTGCACCCCGCCCCCCCGCCCCCGCCACACCCCCCTCCCCCGGCATACTTCTCCCCTCACCTCGTGCAGGGCAGCTAGGTACTTGTAGGCCTTCCGAACGGCATCGTCCTTCTTAGCATCCTGACCAGACAGAGGGGACCTCAAAGGTATCAGTGGGCTGTCTCTGCCTCCAGACCTCTATGCCCCAAAGCCACCCTCTCCCACCCACCAGCCCCCGCCGACTGCACCCTACACAGAGCAAAGCCAGGCCCAAGCATCAGTGCACCTGCCAGACCCACACAGGACCTGGGCCCCAGCCAGCTGTGAGCAGATGGGCAGGCAGCCACCCAGCCCCGCCCCACCCCTCACACCCAGCCCAGCCTGCCCCACACCTTGAACACGAGCTCATCAGTCACTGCAAACGTCCGGTCCAGCTTCCCAGAGAGGGAGTTGATTTCCTTCTGAAGCTCCTTCGTGTCAGATAAGATCTGGCAGACAGCAGGACGGCCATGAGCCCATGTCTGGGGCCGGGCAGCCGGTCAGCTGAGGGTGCTCGTGTGCATGCACTCACATCCAGACAGGGCCTGTGACACTCCGTCGGGGTGGCTGGGGTGGACTGTGCGTGACTGTTCTGTGTCAGGGTCTGGCTGGACAGCTCTGACCATCTGAGGGTGTGAGGTCCCCGTGTGGCCACACTATGCACGTCTGCCCGTATAAGCCACCCCCCATGACCGCAGCAGCGCACCTTGGTGATCTCTTCCTTCTGCTTCCGGATATTGCCCACGATTTCCAGGATGCGCTGGGTGTAGGCCAGCCGGGACACGTCTCTTGGCAGAGTCTCCAGCTCTGACACCTGGGCAGGGACATAGCAGGCACTCCCCCAGGGCCTGTCCCCCAACCCACTGGCACTGCCCAGGTTCCCCACATGGGCCATACCAGCTGCTTATAGATCTCCTCCTTCCTGCGGGCCTCTTCAGCAGCTGCCCGGACACTCTGGTGCAGCTCCTGAATCTCTGCCAGCCGTCGAGAAGATTCCAGCTGCCAGGAGCCCACGGGAAGAGGGCAATGAGCAGAGTACAGGGATGGCCCCCTAGAGAGGGATCAAACCTGCTCCTGTCCCCGCCACGGCCCAGGACCCCACCACCTACCTCTCTGCAATCCTGGAGCTTTCGGAGGTGGCGGTACTCAGCAAGCAGTGGGACCCGGTGCTTTTCCCACTGACCCGCCAAATGGATGACCCGCTGGGCACTACTTTCCACCACGAGCTGGCCAGTGGGGAGGGGTACATGTCACGCAGGCTGGGCCCCTCCAGCCCCGCCCTGCCCTGCCCTGCCCAGCCCCACCTGCAGCTTGGCGAGGTTGGCAGCCCCGTCGGGCAACAGCTCCACCGCGCGGCTCTTCAGGCGCAGGGCCTGCTCGCGCTCCGTAGTGCTGAGCTCACTCTGCCGACACTCAGTCTCCACCTGCCACAACACAGCCCCCAGCCCCCCCACTGAGCCCGGAAAGCCTGGGCCCAGCCAGCCTGAGCCCCACAGATGGCTGTACGCCCCTCTAGCCCCTAAGGCTTCTCTGACCCCTCCAGCCCCACGCAGAAGCCCAAGGGCCCCAAGGAGCCCCGAAGCCCCTGCCCATACAGGCCCACCTCGCCCCATGGATGTCCCCAGACCCTCACAGCCCTCCTGATTCTCACGGCCACCTATAAGGCCTCACTGATGCTCACAGGTGCCTCTAACCCCTACAGGCCCACAAAGCCCACATCCCCGCAACCCCACTGATCTCCTGAACCCTGAAGAGCCCCACATGGTCCCCAATGTCCCCCATGAACCCTTCTGACATCTGAGATCTCTACAGAGTACCTCTCAGCCCCCTCAAGTCACTTGAACCCCTCTGGGCCCTACTTCTGACCTGACCCCACCCATGGCCCCTCACTCACCTGCACAAAGCTGACGCCCAGCATCTTCATGTCGGCTTCAACTTCTTCGATGTTGCGGTTCACTCCCTCCAGCTGCTCCCGAAGGGACTCTAGCTCCTGTTCTTGAGCTGCCCACACGTCCTGGGAGGCACAGGCCAGTCGGGGTGGGGGTGTTAGGCCCAGTAGATAGGCAAGGAGCCAGGACACCCCCCACTGCTCTGCTCACCTGCTCAGGCCGCCGGGAGGTGACCGGCACATCTGACACCTGGGCTGCCTGGGCCTGAGGCTCCTATGGGAGTGGGGAGAGGCACCCTGGCCATCAGGGAAGGCCCTGACCCTCATGATCCAGCCTCAACCCCCCAAAAGATCCCCCTAGCGCTGTTATCATGCCCACCCAGCCTCTGACAGCTGTCAGACTGTGACTACGTGGGGGTAAAGGCAGTATCTGCAACCTCAGACTGGAGTGTTTGCTCGTAGAGAAACCTCCCTGACCCTGACATAGCTCCATGCTTCTCTCTACCGACCTGCCCCATCTCTCAAGCCCCAAATGCCATGAGAAGGATGAGGGCCTCTCAGGGTGAGCATCCCGGGAGAGAAGATACGCCCAAAGGAAACTGCCTACAGAAAGGAGGGGTTTGCACCAGGAGTACCCCTACACCCTTACATGGCTCCCACCTATCCACATTTTCTGCACTGAAGTCCTCAGGAAGCTAGGGGACCCCTCTGGGTACCCAACCCCCACCAGTGGGGAAAGGGCCCACCTGGCGGGCACATGGGAACCTGTGTGGATAACAGTGTGGCATTCGTACATAAAGCCACCCTCTGAGCCTGCCATGCCCCGTCAGCACACTCCATGTTCACTCGGGCTCACCCACCAGATGGAAGGTGAACTTCTCTGAATGTGTGAAGCGGGAGCCCTTGGGAGCACCATTCCTGGCCCCAGCACCCCAGGCCTGCAGCAGCTCTCCCAGGTCTCGGGCTTGCGTGGGGGCCCCAAGTGGGCCCCAGCTCTGGCGCAGATGCTCAGCCAGGTGCTTCTGCAGCCTCTGCCGCTGACCCCGTGTGTCCTCCTAGGAAGAGAATGCAGGAGAAATAGGAGGGCATGGAGGCCTGCCTAGCACAAAGGCCCTGCCTCCTCCAGGGGCCACTGGATAGGTGCTCCAAGCAATTCACACCCGCCCTCCAGCCCTCCCACTGAGGTGGGCCCCTGCCCTACTCTCCTATCCCACTGGTCTGGGATCTCCCCAAGGACGGGGGTCTCCTCTTGCTCACAGCCATACTTCTCTCCACCCACTCACTCCCCATGCTGGAAAAGGATGTGGGAAGAGAGAGGAGTAAGCCTGGAGCCCCCAAATCTGAGCGAGACACAGAAAAGCTATGTGGGGACACAGCAGAGACAGGGAATGAAAGAAGCTAGGCAAAGAAGGGGCCAGAGTCAGAAAGAGAGAGACAAGAAAGGGACAAGAACAGAGATAGTTTCGAGACAAATGGGGAAATCTGATTATGAACTCAGTGTGGGCTGGTATTAAGAGATCATTGTTAATTTTGTTAGGTGTGCAAATGGTCCAGTGGTTATATTAAAAAATGAACATCCTTATGAGTTAAGAGATGCAGTCTTAAGTATTTAGAGTTGAAATGACATGATGTCTAGGATTTGCTTTAAAACAATACAGCAGGCCAGGCATGGTGGCTGACACCCTGTCATCCCAGCACTTTGGGAGGC